TTCACTGTACCCCCCTCTATATATACATTTTCTGTAACCCCTCTACATCTACATTCACTGTACACCCTTCTACATCTACATTCACTACACATTCCTCTCTACATCTACATTCACTGCACCCCCCTCTACATTCACTGCACCCCCCTCTACAGCTACATTAACTGTACACCGAACACTACATTTACATTCACTTTACACCCCTCTACATCTACATTCACTGTATATACGTTCTCTGTAATCCCTCTGCATCTACATTCACTGTACACCCTTCTACATGTACATTCACTACACATTCCTCTCTACACTGTACACCCTTCTACCCTTCTGTAGAAGGGTGTACATTCACTGTACACCCTTCTACAGCTACATTCACTACTTATCCCTCTCTACATGTACATTCACTGTACACCACTCTATATCTATATTCACTGTACACCTCTCCTCATCTACATCCACTGTACACCCCCCTACACCTACATTCACTGTACACCCCTCTCTACATCTACATTCACTGTGCACCCCCCTACATCTACAATCACTGTGCACCCCTCTACATCTACATTCACTACACCAAACACTACATCTACATTCACTACACATCCCTCTCTACATCTACATTCACTGTGCAATCCTCTACATCTACATTCACTGTGCAACCCTCTACATTCACTGTACACCCCTCTACATCCACTGTGCACCCCTCTACATCTACAATCACTGCGCACCCCTCTCTTCATCTACATTCACTGTACACCCCTCTACATTCACTGTACACCCCTCTACATCTGCATTCACTGTACACCCATCTACATTCACTGTACACCCCTCTACATCTACATTCACTGTAGTACACCCCTCTACATCTACATTCACTGTACACCCCTCTACATCTACATTCACTGTGCACCCCTCTCTGCTTCTGTTCTAGTATTTATTTACACTGAAAGTTATCCAATAATCAGTGTTTTTCTCCAGAAGCTGCCGCCTTTTGTTGCTGGTCTACAGATGTTTCAGAATAACATATTGTGAACCTCCTTTCTGCATCTGGCCCACAGAAGGAAGCATCAAGAAATATTGCACTAGCCATATAAACTTCCAATCTGCCCCATCGGAAAGCCCCTGTCATTGTTCAGTGTCTGCTGGAAGATTCCTCTGCTGTCACAAATCACACACTGTGTCCTGCTGGCTTCCTCGCCTCAACACAGAGAAGTTTTGTCTTGCTTTGGGCCATTGAACTCTGGAGTGATCATTCTTCCGAGGAACATGTGACCGCAGCGCCCCCTGCCTGCCCAACCCAGTACTGCCCTCTGATAGGTCAGCACTGAAAGCTTAAGGTCCTGTGTGACTTCCAATATCAATGGTGATTGAACATTCTGCTGATCCAACAACCTGCTGGAGAACTACAAGTGCCAGTATGCCGATTAGTCTGGGCAGCTGAGATCTTAATAAGATTTAGTCTGTATTGGCACAATTTATACCAAGATCCCCAGGAGATAAAAGAATGTACGATTGGATTTCCAAACATCAAACCGCGAAGATCTACAAAGTGATTTCATATTTCTGCGTCTTAAAAGATAACTGCGAGATGACCGACGTGATTGTCCTGCTGGAACCCGAGACTCAAAGTGACTTCCCTTCCTGGGATTATATTCATACAAGGCAGAGTGTCATCTATTAATACTATATTATCTTTATTCCAAAAAAAGTATAGACACTGGACCATCAGACCACCACCACCGCTGCACCAGAAGAGCTGACACTCTAATGTCCCACCACATTCACACACTATTATTATACATATATATCTCTGACATATTCCACAGTGCTGTCCAGAGAACACTGAGCCAGTCACATCGGTCTCTGCGTCAGAGGAGCTTACACTCTAATGTCCCCCCACAGTCACACTATTATTATAATTATATATAGCTCTGACATACACCGTGGTGCTGTACGGAGGACACCAGTCACATCAGTCTCTGTACAGAAGAGCTTACACTCTAATGTGCCCCCCAGTCACATACCATTATTCTACATTTAAAGAGCTCCGACATATTCCATTGTGTTGTACAGGGAACACTGAGCCAGTCAGATCAGCCTCTGCAGCGGAAGAGCTTACACTC